CTAATTTACAGAGTTATTAATCGGTAATTGTTTTCTACTGATATCACATTGCAAAATAAAATAGATTTTTGTGTATCCGTATCCCTAGTTAAGTTAGATTGTTTATTATAATTTATTGATATATTATAAATTTAATTTCCGAAACTCGTTTTGGCGCTCCCTAAGGCGTGCGCCCGCATTTTTTACTTAGGGCAAAAACTTGATCAATTATAATTTATAACGATTCAGCCCCTACACGCGTTAATATTTTTAATAAGACTGCTTGTGGTGAATCCTGTTCGCAACGTGCGCGTGCTTTGCTTTCGTTTGCAATAACTTAGCTGCGCACATTGCAAATAAATTCACCATGCATATTCGTGGGAATCCTGTGGGAATGGAGACGAGCAATTGCGTTGGACTGTGGGTTCTAAACTTCAAATTTTTAACGCTTTTTTGTTAAAAAGAAGTGTGGTAATCTTAAAATTGATATAAGATATAGATATAATTATATGTGGATTAAAAAAGTATATTTTTTAGTATCTACTCTTCTTTTGTCTATGTCTACATCACTATTTATGTTTTAATTAACATTTATGTTTATTTATCTATGATTATTAAAGTATTCTGAACATAGATAAACAAGTATAATGATTCTGAACTTGTAAAAATACCATAGATAAAAAAAGAGTATGCACATAGATAAAAAAGAGTATTCGCGATTTTGAAGAGGGCGCAGCAGGAATGATGGCAAAGTTTAGTATTGTGCGGACTGAGAAACCGCGCGAGTGTAATGGCCCGCTCCATTGCACGAATTCGTACGGCGAATCTGTTCGCAAAGTGCGCAGATAGAAATTTTGCAAGTAAAAGCAAACCACGCGCATGTCAAAAACAGGATTCGCCGTGCGCGTTCGTGCAGTGGAGACGGGCCATTATGAAAAGTTACTAAAGTCTACCAGATTGCGTAAAGTTTCTCTGCGCAGAGCAGTTATAATATAAATATATAGTATATAGTTCAGTAATTGGATACAAAAAAAAGGCTGTTACCGAAAAAGTACTCAGGTAGTATTGAAAATGGTTGTTTTGTAGTTTTCGATGTGCTATTTACGAATTTCAACTTTGCCATCTCAAATTTTTTCAGCTGGCGCCGGCATATTGAAAAAATGGCGTCAAAAACAGTTTTTTAACAATATCTCTTTTTCGGCTTGTTTTACGATAGAAGGATCTTTATACAAATTAACTAAAGAAAATTTCTTATATTTCATATATTTACAAATCAAGATGTAATGCTCTTGTACATCTTCATTTATAACTATTGTTGCCTCGTTTGTTTTGTTTTTTCTTATTATGTACATTAATTTAATAAAGGACAGGGATTATTGATAGTTTCATTTTGTAAGTATTTGCGGGTGTTAAATATGGAAGATTATATGTTATTTTTGTAGCTTTATTGACGATTCTCTGTATGTCGTTTAAATTAGCATTTGTTGTATGACTTCACGCTATTATCCTATATATAAAGTATGGGCATTATATGAGCTTCCAGTATTAGTATCTTATTATTTTTTCCGAATGATTAAGTAGATCTTTTTTAAAGGTTCTGTTAATTGCCGCTATATTTCTTTTTATCTTATCTAATATATGATAATGTCGAAACAGAGGCTAGCATACTCATAGATAAAAGAAGAGTATACTAATACCTATTCATTCACTCTTGCTTACTTATACTTATACTTATGTTTACTTATCTATGCTTATACTTTTTTATCTATGAGTTATAGTTAATATACTATCGCTGATTTTATACAACGAAGAGTCTTAGTTGCTGTAAAGCTTTTATCTCTGTATTATTTACTTGAATATTTAATTTAGTATTTTGTTTGAATATTAATTGGTTAATTGTTAATTTATTCTTGGCCGATATTCACAACTCAATCTTTTTTAAACCATAATCGATTATGGCAACACGAATTTGCCATGAATTTGTGGTTGTCTTCGGCGAGAGAAAACAAAATACAATAAATCGTCATGACATATCGATTTTATAAAAGATCAATTTTTGAATACAGTTTTATGTTTTTTTACAAAATTTATTTTTATAAGTACTACCCAAAATTGTTCTTGGTGAAAAAGTGTTTTCGATTAGCATATATAAATATTTATTTACAGCGTCATCTACAAGATCTATCCGTGACTTGAAGCTCGGTGAAGTTGCTGAAAGATTAAAGATTGAAATTTGTTGTTTGTAATAAAATCACTCTACGTTATTTATATCTATGGTCATAGTTGTGAAAGAATCAAGAAGAAAACATAAAGTTTAATAAAATAAGTTAAAGAAATCTCATGTGGTAAACAAACAAAATAATGGCTTGTCATTACGTAGTTACGGCTCAAAAAGCTACTGCCGTAAAAGCGTGCGTCACTGGTAAACATTCGTGTGTTTGGTAAATTTAATAAAGATTGCTGCAGATAACCCTAATATTTTCATTATCAATTTTAGGAAATTTCACTTCACCAACAGATTTAAATCTTGTTATTGCTAAAAACACACGATTAGAAGTCCATTTGGTTACTCCCGAAGGTTTGAAGCCTATGAAAGAAGTTGGAATTTATGGGAAAATATCGGTTTTGAAGTTATTTCGACCGGAGGTAATTTGTGCAAGGCAGTAGATCTATACCGGCTTTTATTCGCAATATAGCTTAGTTTTAATCAATGTGCATGGAACATATTTTTATGAATTTGCTTGAGTTGTTGAACATATTTATTTAAAGTTGAAATGTTGATTAGATTACTGTCTTGTGAAGTATGTATAATAAAGCATGTTGGCGGAGGTAACATAAATTTAAAATTTGTACTGGCTACTATGTTCCAGTTTGAGATGTTTTAATGTATAAATGTGTGTCAACTTTCAGAAAGAAGAAAAAGACTTAATATTTGTTTTGACTTCTCGATACAATGCTATGATCTTAGAATGTGTACGAGAAGGAGACAATATTTCTATTATAACAAAAGCCCATGGCAATGTATCGGATAAAATAGGAAAACCGGCAGAAACTGGCATTTTAGGTGTAATTGATCCAAAAGCACGGGTAATTGGCTTGAGACTTTATGATGGACTATTTAAAATTATTCCATTGGATAAAGATACTAGTGAATTACGCGCTACAAGTTTAAGGTAATAAATTTTCCTGGAAACAGCTGATAAAGCAATTTTCCATATTCAATTTTATATCTTAGAAAACTAATAATTATAATTAATCTTGAAGGTTCAACAAGTTACCCAGGTGTTTTTCACTAATTCGTAGTATTAGAGTCAATTGAATTTACTAACACTTATCAAATCAGCACGTATTACTCACTTATCTATTTTATCAAACTCTTCAGAATGGACGAACTGCAGGTACAAGACGTTGAATTTTTACATGGTTGTGCTAATCCTACACTAATAGTAATTCACCAGGATATGAATGGGAGGCATATTAAAACATTAGAAATAAATTTGAAGGAAAAGGAATTTATGAAAGTTCCTTGGCGTCAGGATAATGTCGAAACAGAGGCTAGCATACTAATTCCTGTTCCTTCACCCTTTGGTAAATAACAGTTATAGTTAATATACTATTGCTGATTTTATGCAACGAAGAGTCTTAATTGCTGTGAAGCTTTTATGTTAAAAAGTAAAAGCTGTGAAAATGTCACTACAGATAACTCCCGTACAACACGGTAGATACGTTCCAAAAAACTAGCATGTTTTGCGAATATATGTTATACGGGACAAAAAACTAGTACAAAAAGAGGGGTTACGTTCCAAGAATTCAAAGAAACATGCTCTATATCAGGATTTTATAATAAATCTTGTTTATTATTTATCAATTTTTTTAAGAAGTAATATACATTACATGAATTATGATTTTTTTGTCATAATTAACTAGTAAGTGCTATCCAACATTATCCTTTTTTTGCAAGATATCCTCATCCTTTGAGCAGTTTTTTGTACTACCTACAGATCTGTGCATAATTTTTTGCAAAAAAAAATTATATTCGCAATTAGCTGCTTTTAGCGAAAAGATACTTATATATTTACCGCATGCAAAGTTATCTTTATTAAAATTTTATGCTCATTTTATTCAAAGGATCTTTGTTTAAGACTAATAGACTAATTGTTCGGGTAAGCCTAATATTTATCTATAGAACGTACGCACTCGAATTATAAGTATGAAATATTAGTTATCTTTTGTATTAGTTTCACACATTTATTGAGCTATTGTGCTGCAATTTTACTAATTTTAGATTAAAGTTTGATTTTCATAGATTTTACTATATTTTTTATTTTATTAGAGTTTTGCTCAAGTCTGAAACCGTGTTAGAGCGAAACCGTGCTTTAAAAGTATCGTGTTATAAGGGAAATGGCATCAATTCTTAAACTGTGTTAGAGCAAATCCGTGTTATAGTAGTACCGTGTTACGCGGGGGTTACCTCTGTTTAGTTTCATGCAAGTTTATCAAGTAAATAATTGATTTATCAGATATCAATTATTGGTTTTGGTTCACACAATTTGGTTATCTAAATGTTTGGTAATTGAAGTATAATAAAAGATACGCATTTACGCAAGATAAAATATGATAGAACTTGATCATATTCAAAAATTATCAATTTAGGAGTTTACCTAGATATTGATCATCAAAAATTTTGAGTCATTTCATTTTAAACTTGTTCGTTATCTCATTCAGATGAAGCAGAAGATCTGTAAAGATATTAATCCTCCGTCGGTCGGGGTGGTCTGGCCAGACTTTCTTCAACATCAATTTAAAAAAAAAAATACTTCTAGTAATCCTATCGACTTGAAATTTTTTGACTTTATCTAAAATTCCATTAGCTGTCGATCAATGAAAAAATCAGGATGAAATAATTTACAGAAGGATAATTATAAGGATATTAACTTTTTTATACTTCGAACAGTCAGAGTGGTCTGTATAGACCACCCATACGTTTTGTATGAAATATGACGCGTTTTGATATATGTAAACCAGTCTTTGTCCTGTTTCTGGGATTTTCAATTCAAACTGTGTCTTATATATTCTTTGCTGTGTTGTAACATGAATGTTAGTATTTACACGCACACATATGAAAATTTCGAAGGTAAATAAATATCCGACCGACGGAGGGTTAAATATAAATTTTCACTTTCAATAATATATTTTAATTATTTAACTTTTTAATAATTTAGATGCTACAAGATTGAATAAATTTGAGAAGAAAATGTGGACAAATCTCGATTGAAATTATTGTGCAATAATTTGTATATTTGGACTTCAATATGTGTTTATTTATTTATATGATTATATATATAAATTTTGTTTAGAAAATTGTGCTCTAAATTATTTATTTTTAGGTGGTGCACTTGTAATAGGTCAAGAATCAATTGTTTATCATGACGGAACTTGCTATGTTGCTATAGCACCACCCATAATAAAGGTATATATGTATAAATAATTGTAATGTTTTTTATATCAAAACAAAAAGGTAAAACTACTGATCAATATGTAAAACAAATATAAACAATGTGTTGATTCTCAAAAAATTATACTTGTTATAATTGAACAAATCTGAAATGTTTAGATAATTATATTTGATTTGATATCTTTATTTGCAATAACGCAGCAAAGTTCTATAACATGTTACGCACGTGTGGAATCAAAAGGAACAAGGTATTTACTTGGGGACATGGCAGGACATTTATTTATGTTATTTCTTGAAACAGAAGAGAGGTCAAATGGAAAACCGTATGTGAAAGATCTGAAAGTTGAATTATTAGGTAAACTATTATTTTTTAAATTAATAATTCAAATGTCCAAATGAATAGTTAAAGTTTTGCCAATGCATGTATGTTATTTTATAGATTTTATCATTTTTAGGTGAAATATCAATACCTGAATGTATCACTTATCTTGACAATGCTGTTCTGTTTATTGGAAGTCATTTAGGAGATTCGCAACTTGTTAAATTGTCAGCTACTGCTGATGAACGTGGTTCCTATGTTCAACCAATGGAAACATTTACTAATTTGGGCCCTATTGTAGATATGTGCATAGTTGATTTAGAAAGACAGGGTCAAGGGCAAATTATAACGTGTTCTGGTAAGAAAAAGTTTCGCTTCACTTTTGAAAACCTTATTTCATTTTGTATAATTCCATATCATCCATATTCATATATACGAATCAAGTCATTTTCTGATGTCTTCATATGAGTTTAACTGCTGATCAGCCAAGCAATGTGCCATCGAACGGAACAAGTAAAAATCCGACAGTGCAATATCTGGGGAATATAGTGGGTGGGGTAGGACTTTCCATTTGAGCGTTCTCAAGTAGGTTTTAACAGGCTTGGAAACGTGAGGCCGAGCGTCGTCATGCAGTAAAATCTCTATGGTCGTATTGTGGCCGTTTTTCGCGCAGTGCTTGGCTAAAATGCATCAATTGAGTATGATACTGTTCTCCAGTAATGGTTTCACTTGGTTTCAACAGCTCATAATAAATAACACCGACCTGGTTTGACCATATGCAGAGCATAACCTTCGCAGTGAATATTTGACAGAGCCGAGATTTTCTCTTCTTTGGATTGATGCAATGTATGCATTTTTGATCACCTGTCACGATGCGATGAAGAAAACCTTCTATTCTCGACGCTGGAGCAGCTGTTCACTGGCGAAAATCGACGCTCGACGTCTCTTGGCTTCAACTCACAAGGAACTCAAGTTTGAATCATCCCCAACCCGTGCAATTGCTTGGAAATATCTTGACGGGTAACTCCTAATTCTGAAGCAAGCTCTTTTTGAGTTTGGCGCAAATACTCTTCAAGCAAGGCCTTCAATTTATCATCTTTGAAGGTTTTGGGCCTTTCTTGACGAGGGCGGTCGTCAACATCAAAATCACCATCTTTGAAGCGACGAAACCCATTACAGCATGTTGTTTTGCTCAGAGCAGCATTTCCGTAGCTCTCAATGCACTTGAGCTGTCGTTTTTTTTTGAATGGAAGAAGGAAATCTACACTTCCCGCAAATGACGATTGTAAGGCATAAAATTAGACTTCTTCACTTAACCAGAAGTATATAATGCAAAAACGAAATCACTTATGTGTCGCAGTAGTTTGTTTACCATATGTCTAAGCTTGATTCAAGACGTTTTGGATTTGTCAAAATCGACCAACCCTTACTGCTAGAGCCATGTACTGACAAACAGTGAGAACTTAGTTGCGCACCTAATATTTACTTATATCTTTTGCAATATATATTTAAAACGTGATCAAACTTCAATTAAATTAAATATTAAAATAATCTTTTAATGCTGTACACTTATACTAAAAATTCAAATGCATCAATCGTATATATATTTTAATATCTTATATAAATTCTATATAATTCTTATATTAATTAATAAAATTATTGAATAAATTTTTGATTCTCAGATATTGTTAGAAATTAAGATATTAATAATATTTGCATGTATTTATTTTTTATAGGTGCCTTAAAAGAGGGAACATTACGCATAATACGTAATGGTATAGGCATACAAGAACATGCTTCAATTGATTTGTCAGGAATAAAAGGCATATGGGCATTACAAACATCAAATATCAATAAAAATACATTGTCTCAACATGACACATTAATTTTGTCATTTGTTGGTCAAACAACTATTTTGACTTTGTCTGGGGAAGAAGTTGAAGAAACTGAAATTCAAGGATTTGTCAGCGATCAGCAAACATTTTGTTGCGCAAATGTCAAATACAATCAGATTATACAAGTAATTAACTCAATAAACCTAATCTATTGAATGCTATTATTAATGTCTCAATTTCATATGCTTTTGTGTTTTTTGTGGCTTATTTATCAAAATTTTTTTTTGTAGGTTACTACAGAGGCAGTTCGGTTAGTCTCGATTGAGTCATCTTCTTTGGTTTCAGAGTGGAAACCAGCTCATGGGCAAAGTATTGGTGTAGTTTCTTGTAACTACTCACAGTTAGTTTGTGCTTCTAGATGTGATATATATTACTTAGAAATCGGTGATGGACATTTGATGAAAATAAGGTCAGTACTTTTAAGTGATAAAAAATTAATATAGTAATATAGCATCTGTATATATATCTTCTATATATATAAAAATAAGTCGGGTTTTCCTTCCTGACGAAATAACTCCAGAACGCACGAACCGATTACAACAATTTTGCATTCGTTGGAAAGGTCTCGGGCTGCGCAAGATTTATAGCTAAGAAAATTAGTTGTGCATGGCATCGTGCCTTAATGAAAGCTGCTAGAACTTCACGCACCGTAATTAAAAATTCGAGTAATGACATTAGTGAGAATTATCAGAATTATTCTTGGTTAAGTCAACGAGCAATTCTTGCCGCAAAGAATAATGATGTGCACGCACTGAATTTTACCATTCAATCAAAAATTGCTGGCGATTTGGTGACATACCAATGATTCCGACTGGTCTTCCGTTTGACTTCAAACGATTGCAATTTCCAGTTCGCCTTGCGTTCGCAATAACAAGTCGCAAGGCCAATCGCTTAGTGTTTGCGGGATAAATTTCAAATAGATTATTTAGAAAATCATTGTTTTTCACATGGGCAGTTATACGTTGCCTGTTCACGAGTTGGAAAACCATCCGCTTTGTTTGTGTTAACGTCAGACCAAAAAACAAAAATTGTGGTTTACCAAAGAGCACTTCAATGAAACGGATAATTTGCGGATTCACTTTCATTTACTTAGAGAAGTTCAACTAAAAAACACTTCATTTTTGTAATCGAAATAAATTTATTACTGTTGTATAATAAAATCAAATTTTTCCTTTTCAAATATAAAACAAACAAAAAATTTCTTCATCTTTCTCACGAAACCATCTGGTGGCGAAACGGAGTTCGTCGGGTTTGCTAGTATATATATATATATATATATATATATATATATATATATATATATATTGAATGGTAGAGTCTTGGATTTGTGTATATTTTGTAGAGTTTCGAACAAGAATCCAAAAATAATACAAAATAAAAAACAAGAAAAGTTTTTTTAAAAAAAAAACAATTTCTTTATTTAATTATTTGTTTATTGTCGACGTTTCGGAACTAGGTACGTTCCATCTTCAGGACATCTGTCAAGAGACATGATCTTGATGAGATTTTAGCAAACAATATGTTTAGGAAAAGAAAATAGATTTTTCTTAAATAATGAATTAATTGTAAAAAATATAATAATGTACAGAAATATGATAATATGTTCAAAATAAAAATGATAAAAATAAATGAGTGGATTATCAGAACAGGATATTAAACATAATAGAAAATTTTTTGAAAGTTATGGAAATTTTTTAGAAAAGGTTAATGACAAAGTTGAATTAATTACCTGTATGTTTGAATATTTGTTAGCACTTTTTCACTAAACAAGCTTTTTTAACAAAAATGAATTTGTGAGTTAATTTTCCGCCGAATAATTAGATTTTGTAAATCAAAATTACTAAAAAATTTGTCTTTTTTAAAAATTATTATTTGAAAACACAAATAATATTGTTCTCTGGATGTTGTTCGATTGGCTTTCGAATTAGTTAATTTTCGAAAGCCAATCGAACAACATCCAGAGAACAATATTATTTGTGTTTTCAAATAATAATTTTTAAAAAAGACAAATTTTTTAGTAATTTTGATTTACAAAATCTAATTATTCGGCGGAAAATTAACTCACAAATTCATTTTTGTTAAAAAAGCTTGTTTAGTGAAAAAGTGCTAACAAATATTCAAACATACAGGTAATTAATTCAACTTTGTCATTAACCTTTTCTAAAAAATTTCCATAACTTTCAAAAAATTTTCTATTATGTTTAATATCCTGTTCTGATAATCCACTCATTTATTTTTATCATTTTTATTTTGAACATATTATCATATTTCTGTACATTATTATATTTTTTACAATTAATTCATTATTTAAGAAAAATCTATTTTCTTTTCCTAAACATATTGTTTGCTAAAATCTCATCAAGATCATGTCTCTTGACAGATGTCCTGAAGATGGAACGTACCTAGTTCCGAAACGTCGACAATAAACAAATAATTAAATAAAGAAATTGTTTTTTTTTTTTAAAAAAACTTTTCTTGTTTTTTATTTTGTATTATTTTTGGATTCTTGTTCGAAACTCTACAAAATATATATATATATATATACATATTCAGTGGTGTTGTCGAACCGGAACACGCCTGAACGTCGTTCCTGCAAATCATTTTTGAGCTAAAAAAATTAGAAAGGATTGCTTTTTTTTTTTCTAATTTTTGACGAAATGCAAGCAGCCCGCGGTTGTCTGAAGCGTTACACAATAAAAATATCACGATAATATATGTGGATAATCCGCCGAGCAATTCGCTATTTGAAATCACTAAAAGACGTTAAAAAAGGATACAAACGCTTTGAAGCATCAGAGACTATTCAAGTGATAAAATTAGAAACATTAACTTTAACAGATAAAAAAAAATTTACTATTATTTATAGAAATCAATTTCTTGTAAGTCTAATTAATAATATTACTAGAAGACTACACAGAGAAAATGATTTAATAAGTGAATTTCGAGTATTAGTTATAACGCAGCGGCCAGCAGATATTGGAATTGGCTATGGAGAAAATGAAATCCAGTCAGTATGTATCAGATTTAATTCAACATCACTGATGCGATCTATCAATACATTTAGAGATTATATTGATACTGGAAGTAAAGTAATTCCTGAAGATATAGAAATTTTAATTCGACATATAAATATTGTACCGTGCAGTTCCGCAGAGTGTGAGCGCGGATTCAGTAATATGAATATTATTAAGAAAAAATTTGTCAATCATGTAAGATTTTGCAAATACAAGAACAATATTCAGGTAAGTCGGTTCCAAATGTACAACATCTTAACATTACGCCACTCGATGCTAGAAGAAAATACCTTATCTTCTGCTATGGAGAAAATATTGTGAAAGGTGCTTTAGATGTGCCTGAACTTCTGGAACGTGTCAAATTTGTTGTACCAAACGTTAAGCCATTGACAATCTAGCAAATCTTCTATTTATAAAAATGAATGGTCCACCACATCAATTATTTAAACTAGATAATTATGTAAAAACTTGGTTAAGGTATAATCGTTCAGCGGGTGACAACATTGTTTTGTTGAAAATTCAACTACTAGGATCCTGAAAATAACCTTATTTGGAATATTTTATAGAAATCATAGTGCTTTTATGTTAAACCTGTTAAAAATATTTATGCGGCGTTGTTTGATATACTATTTGTATTTTATAATTGAACTATTTTTTATTAAACTTTCTTATTATTGTGATAAACATACATATATATGAGCAAAATAAGTTTTGTAAGAATTTTTGTCTCATTTCTTTTTGAGAACCGAACGGGAACAAATATGAGAACCGTTTGAATATATATATATATATATATATATATATATATATATATATATATACAGTAGCACCTCGATTATCCGGACTAATTGTTGTCGATAGGCTTCCGGATAATCGAAAATCCCGATAATTCAAATTATGAAGAATAATGTTTTGTTTATCAAAAATAACAAATGCATACATAGATATCGATGTTTATTAGAAAATTAATTCGATATAGATATCGATGTTTATTAGAAAATTAACAATTACATATTTTCTTAGATTACATTATACATATTATATTAACATGAGCTAAAATATTCAGGTTGTACGTAAAGTATCAATGAAGAAGAAAAGTTGATTACAAATAATTTGTTGGTCGTTTTTGTAAAAACTAACAATATAGAGCTTCTTCTAAGAGTTTATTTTTTGGTCTCTTCACCATTTTCCGATTTTCACTACCCTCTTTACTATCTAACTTGCAAGTGTACTACAAAATTGAATCGGCATTCTTTTTGATATCGCTTATAGTGGTGGATGTACCTACACCATACCTATCAGCTAACTTACGGCCGGATTCGCCTTTTTTAATGATTCTATAATATTTATTTTATCTTTAAGGGATAACACCACCCTTTAAAAATGTATATATGCAGGTCAAAACAGAGAATGTATTAATGTATATATGCACATCAGAAGTATGCAAGTTCCGACGCGATTACGTCGGGATAATCGCAAATCCGTATAACCGAGGTCCGGATAATCGAGGTTCTACTGTATATATATATATATATATATATATATATATATATATATATATATATATATATATATATATATATATATATATATATATATATATATATATATATATATTATTGTCAACAGTCAAGTTACTCTGGAGCATGAAGTTGCTTGCTTAGATATAACACCATTATCTGATACTAATGATGAATCAAAACTGGTCGCGGTTGGACTGTGGACAGATATTTCAGCAATCATATTGCGGCTTCCAAATTTGGAGGAATTGTATCATCACAAATTGGGTGGAGGTATGATAATCAATATTAAAGTAATACATTCGGAGTTTTACATCCAAATTGTGGAAAGATATATAGTTTATAAATTTGTTGTGTGATCACTGGAATTATTTTAGTGCCTTATATTGTAATTTTTTATTTTATTTATGCTTTTTGTTAACCATGTATTGGTGCATTTGTTGACCTTTTTAACCAATTGTGACTAAGAATTGGTATTTTATTTCACTGCTTTCTGCTTTTTTTAAAATTTCAATAATTGTAGTTTGTGTTTCTTTTTATTCATAAGTATGCTTAACAAATGGCTAAGTATTATTATCTGAATAAAACCCATGAGATGTTTGTCCATTTAATGTAATGATTTTTTTTTTTTATTTAAATTGAATTTGATATTTCTGCGTATGTCAAGCCCTAATACTCTTGTTATTAATAAAAACAACCAATTATTTTGTGATTAGAACTCCATAAGTACATACACTAATTATCCAAATATTTACAAGTAAAACTGAACTATTTAGTATTAATATTGGCTAATAATAAAGAATAACTTATGGAAAAATATATTATAGTTATGTTAATTCTTGCGTAATTATTTTTTCAGAAATCATACCAAGATCTATATTAATGGCATCATTTGAAGGAATAAACTATTTACTTTGTGCGCTGGGAGATGGATCAATGCAGTATTTCTTTTTGGATTCAGACTCCGGAGTATTGACAAACAAGAAAAAAGTGACGCTTGGTACACAGCCCACAGTGTTGAAGACTTTCAAGTAAGTTGATGATGTACTAAATATATAAGAAATGTTGTATGTTGATAACCATTTTTTTGCTCTTTTCAAATCATTATCTAGGGTATTTATATCTAATTTTATAAATTTTCGTCATTCTATCATTTTTTATTTGCAGATCTTTTTCTACCACAAATGTATTTGCATGTTCTGATAGACCAACAGTGATATATTCATCAAATCATAAGTTAGTTTTTTCAAACGTGAATATGAAGGAAGTCAATCATATGTGTTCATTTAACACTGATGCATATCCTGACAGGTTTGTTTCATATATTTATTTAATATTTGACAATACTTTTTTTGTAAATTACTTGTAAGTAGCAATTTGCCTCAAGGAAAGTTGCTACTGTTCCGAAATGTGTATATAAAAGACATAATCAATCAATATGAACTGAAATTTGGCTACCTTTGAAAATGTCTACAAAACATTGAAGTAGCAATTCGTATTTTCTAGCGGAAACAAACTTTTTCTCCAAGAAGTTAATAATGAACTATTTTTAGTGTGTTCAGTGAATTTTTAGTATATTTTTAGTATTGTGCATTTATATATTTCTTGTATTGCTATCTTTTGTCTGATAGAAATAAAATATGAAATAAAAAAATTGAAAACAAATAAAATATGTGCTAAAATTGGTTAAAAAAAAATCATTTATTTTGTTTTCAAATATTGTATTTATTATCCTATAGATATTATTATAATAGTGCTGCCTTTAAATCTAAATTTTTTTTTTTAAGTTTTTTTTTCAATGTGGATATATTAATCGTTTTTTCTTGCTTTTTTAGCTTGGCTTTAGCTACAGATAGTACTATAACTATTGGAACAATTGATGAGATCCAAAAACTTCATATACGGACAGTGCCATTAGGAGAAACACCTAGGAAGATTGCTTACCAAGAATCTTCACAGGTATAACATTTTTCTAATTGTTTAACATTACTAAATAATATACAAATAATTACCAAATAAATCATATTTTTGTCTATATACATACTATACTGACAAATAATATTTTGCCAGACTTTTGGTGTCCTTACAACCAGGGTAGATGTGGCGGATTCAAACGGTCTCACGCCGACCAGAGCTAGTGCATCAACACAAGCCCAAAATATAACACATTGTTCAACAATGGGTTCTTTAATCCTAAATAAACCAGGTGTTGGAGCAGGAATTCCAAATGCTGAATTTGGACAGGAAGTCGAAATTAATAATCTTTTGATATTGGATCAAAATACATTTGAAGGTTGGTTGAAAATATTTCTTAATAATATGTGATAAAGATAGAACATTATCAACATATATTTTTGTGAAAATCAATATCATAAATAATTCAATTTAAATATGATTTTTTTTCACAGTGCTCCATGCACAGCAGTTAATGCAAACAGAATCTGCATTATCGTTAATCAGCACAAAATTGGGTGACGATCCGAATACCTATTTCATTGTTGGCACTGCACTTGTAAATCCTGAAGATTCGGAACCAAAGGTAATCAAATATTGTTATAATATTGTATTTTCTATGAATTTTTTAACAATGTAATTTTGAGCATTTTTGATATGATACTGGAGCAATACTGAAACAAAATCGTTTTTATTTGCTAATTAAAACTAATCACTAATAAATTGTTTATCTGGATTGCTTAAATAAGATTTTCTAATAATTGTAGTTATTGTGAAGATTATTCCTTCTTATATCAAAAATTATTTTAAGCATGTTAATAGATGCATTGAAAAAATATGACCTAATGGAATATAATATCCAAAGATTTGTAGAAAAGAAAAAAAAATTGTAAGCTTCTCCTATAGTGATTTGTAAAATAAATGGCGGGTTAAAAGTGAGAATTTATCTAATATAATGAGTTTTTACTTGTTTCTAGTAGCGTTGGATAGTTAGTTTTCCAGAATAAATCGATTCAATCTGTGGGTCATTGCAAGATCAACACTGAAATTTATTACCAATTTTTAACTTCTCGAAGGAGAAGTTTGTTTTCATTAAAAAATCCGATTTGCTAATTTTATGTTTTTTCGACGTTTCAAGCCATTCTGAATCGAATGAGACCTAATTTGGAAAAAGTATGTGTGTGTGTGTATGTGAACAGATTTTTTGCCGTAAATCGACGTTTTCTCAAAAACGGTTAGACCAATTTCAAAAATTTAAAAGCCATTCGATGTATCTCAATGAGGACTAGCGTTTGAGTTTTGAACGATAATCGACCGAGCCGTTTCTTTGTAAATCGCAGAAAAGTGAAAAAATTGTCGTCCACGTTCTAGCCCGCAATTCTGAATCGATTTTGAAAATTCAGAAACTGTTCGAAAGATATTGGTTGGGAGTCTTGCTGATTAGTTTTTGGTAAAGATCGGGCGGGCCGTTTTCTTATAATAAAGTTCTTAAAAAAAAAAATTTCGACGATTTTTATGATTTTTTTATGGTAGATAACATAGTCTTATAGATCATACTAAAATATTACGGTCGTTTAATTTAAAAAATTCGTCAAAATTTGCAGAACTTTAGTATCGTTTTTTTGGCGTTTGTCAAAATTAGACCTTTCATCGACGTTTGCTCAAAAACGCCTGAACCGATTTTAAAAATTTAAAAGCCGATCGATGTATTTCGATGTGGATTATCTTCTCGTCCACATTTAAGTACATACTACCGAATCGATTTTGAAAAGTCAAAACTGTTCGAAAGATATTAGATGGGAATGATACCGATTAGTTGAAAAAAAAATTTAAGCCAATTTTGATAGAACTTTTTTTGTTGAAAATGAGTAGTATTTTGACGTTTGTTAAAATTAAAATTAGGCGATTTACTTGGTATGATGATAGAGCACTTGGTCCTTTAATGAACATACTAAACCATTAAAGTCCTACAGAAACTAGTTCAATTATAAAAGTGATTGATTTTTGAAAATTTGCTTTTAGAAAATACTCAGAGTTAACGTGTTCGTTCGTTTTCAAATATGTGTAATAAATTCAATCGGAATTCTTTTAATCACTCATAAATTAATTTATTTTTTATTGATTAAATCGATTATTTACACATATCGGGAAGTTCATGTAACTTGCCTCGAGGTAAAATACCGATACCTACTAGTTTTTTAAACATTTAATAAGACAACTTATTGAAATTTTCATTGGTCGGTCATTAATTATGATAAATTTACTATTATATTTTGTTAAGTTTGAAATTAGTTTCGTTTTCATTTTTAATATCAAAGCAATATTTATGGTTAAATTAACAAACTAATTAAAATCCGAAAGAAGAAGTATATGTTTTTGTTGGAAAATCCTATATGTTAATTTTGTTTTCTTAGCGTTTCAAGTCATTCTGAATCGTTCAGGACCAAAATTCCAAGAAGTATGTGTGTTATTATGCTAACCGAAATTTGACTTTCGTCAACGTTTCAAAGACAGCTGCACTGATTTTAAAAATTTAGTCATTCAATGAAATTCGAAAGACTCGTGTTGATTAATTATCGGGACAATTGGCTGAGCCGTTTCGTCACAATTAGCAGCAGATAAGTGTAACATTTTTCATCTAGGCAAAGTTTTCGTTAAGTTCTAGGCTAAAATCCCCAACCGATTTTGAGAATTTAAAAACTGAAAATTCTTAGTCGGGAATATTGCAGATAAATGATGATTAGTTTTTGGTAATGTTCAACAACCGTTACAATTCTTTTTCCGTTTTTTATGAAACATAACATGGCGAAAAAGTTCATAGTCTAAACTATGAACTATCAATTCAATTTTTAAATAAATATATCATAAATTAATGAAACAAGAAAATAATACATTATATTTAATTTATTGGTGGAAAAAAATTGATGAAAAAAATAAAATTCTATTTTAGAAATGCTTGGCGGGTCGCAGAAAAATATTTAAAGGGCCGCATAAAGCCTTCGGGCTGCGGGTTGCTCATCTTTGGTCTAAACGAACACAATAAAATACTATAGTCCTACGAAAAGTGGTTGACTATAAAAATTCTTTAAAGGTTGGAATAACAGGACGTTTTCGTGCACTATAATTAATACAATTACAGATAGCACATAAGTTTGTTTGATAGATTTCAATTGAAAATCGCATTGATTAGTTTTTAGTGAAAACGCAAACTTTAGTATCGAATTTAACTGTTGATATTTTATTTAAATAGCTAAATCTTGTTCTTTATGATCGTGTCAATTATTTATTTACACGTCTCGGAATTTTCATGCAACTTGCTTTAAGGCAAAATGCCACTTACATCTAGTTAATTATTATACTACTGGCAGGTTGGCAGAATCTTAATGTATCACTATGTGGATGGAAAAATAAATCTAATTGCTGAAAAGGAATTAAAAGGAGCCTGTTATACATTAGTTGAATTTAATGGAAAGTTATTAACAACTATCAATAGTACTGTGAGTATTTATAAATAGGAATTTATATTTAAAAATGATATTAAAAAATTATCACTAAATACAAAATTATAATATCTTCAATCTTTTTTGTCAGGTACGATTATTTGAATGGACAGCAGAAAAAGAACTACGTCTCGAGTGTAGCCATTTTAATAACATAATAGCCTTGTACTTAAAAACCAAAGGAGATTTTATTCTGGTAGGTGACTTAATGAGATCCATGACTTTATTACAATATAAGCAACTTGAGGGTAGTTTTGAAGAAATAGCTCGTGACTACGACCCAAATTGGATGACTGGTGTAGAAATATTAGATGACGATACGTTCTTAGGAGCAGAAAATGGACAAAATTTATTTGTTTGTCAGAAGGACAGGTATCAGTTAACAATAACAATTTTTGTAAACAACTAAAAATAGTTAAAACAATTTGATGCCATGAATTAACAAATTATAACTTTATAATAAGTTATGATCAATAATGCTCAATCACAATTATAACCAGTTATTTATTAGTCTATGTAAGAGTACTGAATTTCATACTAAATTTTTAAATATCTGATTTATATTAATTGATTGGTTTAAAATTTTTGGAATAAAGTTTTTATTAATTGCATTATTGAAGTATGCAGAGTTGCAAATTTACAAATTTTATAAACATTTTATTTGCATTATATGGACAGTTTGAAAGTTACAAGAAATACATTAATTTAATCATATTTATAAATAATATTAAAGAATTACTTTTAACTATAAATAGTTTTGTGTGGCCTAATGAGAGTATATAATTTGATTAAAAAACACTCTTAATGGGTAGTATGTTTGCAAATAAATATTTAACCAATATTTTGTTGTTGTAGTGCTGCTGCTTCTGATGAAGAAAGACAACAAATGTCTGACACTGCACAGTTCCATCTCGGTGATATGGTGAATGTCTTCAGGCATGGATCACTTGTTATGCAAAATCGAGGTGAAACTTGTACACCCACAACGGGTTGTGTATTATTTGGTAAGTAGATTAAAAATGAGAAAAATCTTTAGTTTTAAATGAGCTAAATAATGCATTAGTCAATTGTCAAATATATCATTAGATAAATTAATATTTGATTCATTGTATTATTATTATGTTTTATATTGTGAGTTTTAGGTTTATGTACTTTTATTTACAATTACCTTTTAATATCTTATCAAATTGATGAAATTTGGTATTTTTAACTATTAAAATCATTTATTTAAGAATTATTATATTACTATTTTTCTCATAATCAGGCAAAGCGTAAATTTGGATATTTGTAATATTATTAGGAGAAAAGTTTGAAGAATTGATAATGGTTTTAGAATTCTCTACTCATGGTCGGATTTATGAGGTGACTTACACTAATATGAAAAACTATGCTAATAGACGTAATTCATATCTATTACATCTAATACTATAAATGTGTTCGAAAAAACACTTTATTTTTTTAAATATTATTTTAAGATATATATATATTTTTTTAAAACGTTTTTTTATCACTAGAATGTAACTATATTTTTTTGAACCAAACATCACACTTAAGCCCTATAATTATTATATGATTTGAAAACTTATATTTTAAAGTTTGTGTGTAAAAAAAAAAATTTTAATCAATTACACACAGTAGTTTTTGGATGGTGCCAAGAATAATACGGAAAGAATTAAGCAGCATTTTTGACATATTTTACTCTTTTGCTGTAGAAAAGGTATAAATACTGTTTAAGTCAAAATGAAATTAACTGGTGTGTATGGAAATGACGTGTTGATAGTACGATTAGGGCTTACAATACCGGGATCCCCGCCGATTTTTGGCCGGTATTCAATATTGGTATTTATACAAAAATACCGGTATTTCGGAATTACCAGTATTTTGTTACAAATTGAACTTATGCAATAAACATACACAGTTTTCAAACTTTTGCATTGTCTTCATATCTAATTCGTTATCAATGATTTTTAAACAAAATATACAATCGATACGTTATAATTATCTATATTGTATATCTACCTATCATTCATATTTATTTATTATTTCATTATAACGAAAATTTACAAGACCAAGCTATCGAGTGATAAACAGTTTGGTAATCAATGATAATATTGGTCTTGGTGGTGGATGACCTCTTTCTTATGCGTACGTTGCAGATTCTTAGAAATTGTTCATATAGAATTATTTTATTAATTTATTAGACAATCAGAAAATACATTAATCTATAAGTCTTTTTGATGTGTTGATAGGTAGTTATGATTTGATTATAACCTAAATACACTATACTAAGTACTAATTCATATCGAATAATAATGTACTCGGATTATTTATTTATGACAATTGTGCCAACAAATGTAGAATGAGAAAAAGGTTTTCGGCTTGTTATATTTGTACTAAAATTCGGTCCTCGCTCGAAGATTAAACAATCAATTGTTTATATTTTTTAAAAGCATATTTTAATAAACAAAATATAAGTTATTAATTGAATTTGTTTTTTTCCTTAAATATATAATTCCATACGAGCCTACTTTATATGTAAAATGTAACCTAGAGGTTAATATATAATGGTTCACTTGCCCGTTTTTTTGAATTCCTATTCTCTATGTCATAAAATAATTAATATGTACTTTAATATGTCAATATAACAATTACGGTAAATAAAAATATGACTTTTAAAATTTTTCATTGATAATGCCGGTATTAATACCGGGATCTTCCGGTATTACAAATTTCAAATATCGAATTCCGGCATTCACAGTTTAGTACGATATTGAAAGCCCTAAGTACGACAGTGCCAAAATTAGTTTGCTAAATTTCATTCCTGGTATTTTGATGTCCAAGATGCACCAAGTCCAAGAAGTACGGTTGAAGGTGATAAAGACGCGAGAAAGGCATTAGTTGATGCAAACTGGCGAATAACAATACATAAGATCCCATTGAGTTAAAATTTATCAAATGCAACAGTTCATGACCACTCAAAAAAAGGTCTGGAATTTTCCTCGAAACTTAATGTATGGCTCTTATGAAAGAAACGTGTGTCGTCGCACTGGCGTCCGCGATTCGCCTCTGAAAAGCCCTAAAAATTATCAGGTTTTGAAACGAATTGTCACTAGGAATGTCAAATGGGATGTAAAGAATACAATACACCCAATTGCCCATGAAACAAAGAACAAGAAACTTCTAACAACAGGTGCAAACCTGAAATTGGCCAGAAAAAGTTGATGCAGTATGTTTGGTAAGACATTAAAGGAGTTGTTCATTTTTCAGCTTTTCCATGATAACTTAACTGTTAGTTCGGATGCCTTATGTCATTAGCTGGATAAACTAAATGATATACTGTAATAGAAAAGGTCAGAATTAACCCACGAGTCAAGGTATAGTCCTGCATCAAGACGACGCAAGACCTCAAATAAGTTTGGTCAATTGCAAAAAGCTTTTGTAGCTTGAATGGGACCCAATAATACATTCATCATATTCTCCAGACCTGCCATCATCGGATCATTATTTGTACCGTTCACTAAAAAAATTTTTCGGCGGTAAAACCGCGTTGTCTCAAATCAGCATGTCAAAAAGCACTTTGATCAGTTTTTTGCCAACAGCGACCAAAAAATATATATTCTCGGAATTATGCTAATACCAGAAATATGACAAAAGATGTTCGATCAAAACTGCCAATACATAATGTAGCAAAGTATTTGTTTATTGTACGAAAATTACGTGCCAAAATGTCTATAAAAAACGAAGTTACTATTCGAACAACCCAATACCTTGAATTTGAATAACTTGTTTGGCTTTGATGAAAGATCATAAAATACATTTTGAAAAATTCATACAAGTTAGAATCAAGAGGCGAATAGATTGATGAGTTAATATTGCTTATTCTGTGTTTTTAGGCACTGTATCGGGAGCTATAGGTTTAGTGACTCAGATATCTCAAGAACTCTATGATTTTTTGCTTACATTACAATCAAGATTGAAAAAAGTTATAAAATCTGTTGGAAAGATCGATCATTCGTTCTGGAGAAGTTTCAATTCAGAAATGAAACCAGAGCCTTGCGAAGGCTTTATAGATGGTGATCTCATTGAAAGTTTCTTAGATCTCAGTCGAGACAAAATGAGGGAGTGTGCAGTTGGATTGCAGGTATGAAATAATGTACATTCTCATATCTAATATTTGTGTTATAAATCATGTATTCTATTAAGTATATTTTTTATATTGTAGATGCTTAATAATGGTTCAGGTGATTGTGGTGATGCTACAGTAGACGACATTGTAAAAATAGTTGAAGACTTGACGAGAATTCATTAAGATTGACAGTTTTGATTCTGAAGTTAAGAATTTGATTAATTGATAAATACCAGTTATACAGAATTTGTTAAATATATTTATTTACACAAATATTACTTTATTATGTACTTGATAAAATGTCACAAAGTTGTTGCAACAAAGGTCTTAAATGATATTTTATCTAGTTGTAAGTAAAATTTTGCCTTAAGGCAAGTTGCGTTAACTTTCTATATGTATACATAATAATCGATCAACTTAGTAAAATTGAATTTCAACTGTTTAGGTATTTGTTCCAAAAATAAATTTTTCGCTTTTACAAAAAAAATAATCAATATGATTTCCAAATCTTTCAAAAATACTTATATCAGTTATTTTATCAATTAAATTAATTTGTTTAACACATTTGGTTTCATCCAACGTGTGGACGCGTCAACTGTAATCAGTATCTACTTACGAAACACAGAACGCAATATAACCACGGCATATATTCTGATTAGAATCACTTAACATGCGGCGAAATTCTAAATTTGGATGAATTTTTATAATTCAACCGCTTATCGTAGGCTTATAGTATTTTAATATGTTATTTTAGACTACGAAATTTATTATAACACAAAGTTATATCAAAATTGTCAAAAAAACTTATGTTTTGCAAAGAAAAAGGAATGCGATACCTTTATTCGCGGTTAACTATTTCGCAGATTCCAATATATTCCATACTTTCGTACCATAAATAGCGAATATAGAAACCGTGAATACCGTAATTTATATGAAATTATTGGGGATGCGTTCTGAGATGGCAAAATAATGAAAAGATAATTATATAAAAAAAAACATTTTTAATTGTAATTTTTGATTAATAATTGCCTAAGCCAATCTCCTTCGTAAATGCCGTCATATGAAGTAATGTAGAAGTTCCTTATTTGCGCTTCCTTCATTTGCGTTTTCGCTAATAGCAGCCAAAAAAAATTTGCTCAATTTCTATATGCGCGGTTAAAAATTTCGTTCTTAGCGGATTCTTATACGTATAGAACTCAAAATCCTTTGCGAATGCCGTCATTTTGAACTAAGAAAGAATACTTTGACATATGTCGCCGCCTTTCCAAACGACGTGTTTCTTCTGCTGAAGTCTTACCTAGAAAACTGGTTTTACTTCACAAGTTTTAAGGACGCAACTTCAACAACACATCCAGTAAAATCAGGCGTTGCGCATGGTAGTCTTCTTGGTCCTATCTTATATCAGTTATTCACTTCTGATATTCCTCAATCGCCGTCTACTACAATCGCTACCTATGCTGATACGGCTATATTCGCTCCAAAATCCAAACCAAGCTTTCTCACTTCTCCCGTCTCACATAACTAAAATAGAACAATGGCTCAAGCTCTGGCGAATCGAATAAATAGCTCCAAATCCCAACATATAACTTTTACTCTTTGAAGAAATATCTGCCTACCAATAAACTTTTTAATAGTACTATACCTCAGGCAAACGTCGTAAAATACTTGGGGCACCTGGACACCAAGCTCAATTGGAAGTTCCATTTACAAAAGAAACGCCAACAGTTAGAAGAAACCAGGCGAAAACTATACTGGTTGCTGAACAGAAAATCAAATCTTAACAATCAATCAAACAATCAAATCTAAACTACTCCTGTATCAGGCAGTCATAAAACCTTCATGGATCTACGGAATCCAGCAAAACATTGAGAGAAATAGATTATGCCTGCAGATATGTCCCCAATTGGCTGACTCACAGCAAATTTCAAATGAATACAGTAAAAGAAGAAATCATAGCCTTTAGCCAAAAATATAAGAATAGATTGCAGGATCATCCGAACGACACCGCCAGAAGTCTCCTTACGACACAAGCCACTGAACGCCTCAAAAGAAAACGACCTCTCGCTTGCAACTAACACTACATCTATTTATTTAATTAAATTCCCGTTGGGCAGTTATAGTAATGGGCCGAAAATCCGGACCGATAAGGACAAAAGTTTAATTAAGAGCAGAAATTATTGAATTCTAGAGACTTTCCTATGAAGTAATGTCTAACGGCGGTTTCTGTGGAGACAAGAGGCAAGAGATAAGCGGAGATTTTAATCGGTATACCATCCAGGCGGTATTGAGCCCGAAATATCCAGACAAAAAACCTGGTCTGGTTAAAAAAAACACACACACACACACGCAATACCTTCATTTTTTCTAAGGTATGTCAAATAGTTAACAAGGCTTTGAAACGCTAAGTTATATAAAAAAATATTTCTGATTTTTTGCGATTACTATACTTGACTACGAAAAGTTAAGTAGTGAAGGTTTAGAGAGCAATTGATCTGTGAAATTTTTATATGAACATTGTGCCATCTATGGAAGGAAGTCTTACTTTTAAGAGGAAAATTGCTGATGCGATTGCTTCAGTTTTGAATTGAAGTTGCGACCAATTTGAATAATTTAACTAGTGGGGCGCATGGCATCGTGCCTTAAGGCAAATTGCTGGAACTTCCCGTACCAAAAATATATTTTTTTAAAAGATTAACATTTTTGAAAAAAAAATACTCTAAAAAATTAGATTTTCGAGAAACTATAAATTTTTGACAAAAATTTAATTTTTTTTGAAAAAAAGACTTTTTGAAGAAAAGTGTATTTTGAAATATTTTGGAAATTCTGAACTTTTTTTCAAAGCAGTCGTACTGCTTTAACTGCATAAGCATTTAAAAGCCAAATGGCATTTATTTTTACTTTTTCATTAGATCTCCGAAACTGCTTGACCTGCCTTCATGAAAATTTGATCAGTACTTTATCTTGTTAATACAAGTAAAATGTTTTTTGAATCAAAATCGGACGCTCCATTCTCTTAAAAACTGAGTTACCATTTTTGACACTTTTTGCCCCGTATCTTCGGAACGGCTAGACCTGCCTTCGCCAAAAAACTAATCAGCACGTCTCCTTATCAATACGAATCGAATGTTTTTTGAATTATTCAAATCGCTTCATCCGTGTTCCCGAAATCGTCGACGAAAATTTGTATCCGCACACACACACACATAGTATGATTAAAATTAGTAAGAAACATTTTGCTCGGTGTAGAGAAATGTGTCAAAAACTGTTTACACAAAAAAATATAATCATATTAATCATTGATTGATCTTTAATTGATGAGGCTGAAAGTTTTTTTTTGGCATTATCTGATCTTTCAAGTTTTCAAAATTTTCAAACCAAAAAATATAATGCCGCAAATATATCAATTGACACAGTGAAAATTTGCAATTATAATTCGCTTCGACGTATTATTGTATTTCATTGTGTATGGCATTGTGCCTTAAGGCAAATTGCTGGAACTTCCCGTATCGTAATGAAATATACGAGAAATTTTAAACGCTTTCAAATATATTATCACAAATACTGTAACTTTCATTATTTTTGCTATTTTGTTATACCTGAGCAAATCAAATGTAAATCATAAATCAATTTATCTCTAGAACATTAACAATCGTCATTTCATTTTGAATTCAATTTCAAAAAAATAGTTGCCAAATTTACACAACAAAATTGAAAAAGTGTTCCCTATAGTCACGGTCTAAACGCATTAGCAGATAATTCTGTGCGATATTTTCACTTATACTGTGCTTAGCTTGGCGGCATTTTCACATTTTTCAATTACATAAACAGTCTAAACGCACTGGGGTAAACATTTGCACCAGAGTGGCGCTTAGACTGTGCTTAGCCTGGGTCATTTTTTCAATTTTTAATCCAAAATTACAAAAATATATTTTGAAAAAAAAAATTAGAAACAATTTTTTTTTTCCGAAAGCAATTATTTTGTTGACACAAGAAGAACGTTCTTTGAATCATTTAAATCGCACGCTTAGTTCCCTCAAAAACTGCAATTTTTTTAACATTCATTTTAACAGCTCTGTATCTCCGAAACCGCTGGGCCTACCTTTGCCAAAAACCACTTTTCCCCGTCATTACGAACTGAATGTTTCTTGGATTATACAAATCGGATGATTCGTTCTCTCAAAAACTCGATTTCTATTTTCTGCACTCTTTGCTCCATATCTCCGTAACGGCTGAACCTGTCTTTGCTAAAAACTTATCTACCTATTAATAGAATCGAATGTTTTTAAACCATTCAAATCGGTTGATCCGTGCGCCCGAAAACGGGGACGAAAAAATGCGGACATACAAAACACACGACACACATCCATTTTTTCTGAGGTATGCCAAAATGTGATTTTTGGCCCATTACTATAACTACCCTACGGGAAGTTAAAAAAATGTTCTTTGGCGGTCAAAAATGATCATTAGACACATGCACATTAAATTATCAGATATTTTATAGAGATTTTAATAATGTGTACACATTTTGTGTTAATTTTTTTGGGTTCCGTACTATTTTTTTAATTTTAAAATTTACGTATATGGTTCAAACAAATGTCCTCGACATTCTTGACAGTATGGAATAGCCGATTTGTATGATTGAAAAATCATTCGGCTCGTACTCGATTGCGAGGCGTTTTTGTGAAAGGAAATTTTGCCGTTTTGGAGGTATGGAGCGCAAAGGGAGCGAAAACGGTTATGCATTTTTTGAGAGAACGTTTCATCCGATTAAATTAATTCAAAAAATATTTTGCTTGAGTAGTCGGTGTGCAAAAAATGCTTTTACAGAAAATTTCGAAGTTTCGAAAAATTCAAATTTTCGAAATTTTTCATCATTTTCAAAAAAAAACTAAATTTTGAAAATTAAAAAAAAATATCAAAATAAAAAAAGCGATTTCATACAAAAATTTGAGAATATTTCGAAATTTTCAAAAAATCAAATATTTTCAAAAATTTTCAATTTTTTTAAAAAAATTCAAATTTCTAAAATATGTCTAAATTATCAAAAAAAAAAAACAAATTTAAAAACAAAATAAACAAATTTCTTATAAACACACAAAGTTATTTGTAGAATACGCTTGCCGCCTAATTTAAAAAGCACTTATAAGTTTACAGTATGTATTTATAACAAATAATCTATTTGAAATTATTCAAAACAATTATTGATTATTTTCATTTCTCGAATGTTT